ATAATCGCTATTATTATTATTTTCTACTGCGCCTTTAAAATAATAATATGTGTATCGCATTTTATTATATTATATTTAATTTGACAATTTTTTTTATACCTATAACTAGAGGTATTACATTTTAAGTTGCTCTCCCACCACTAGCACCCCCGAGTCTTCACTGCGTTTATCATTTAATGTATACATTACATTGAAATAGTGTACGTCAAGTAGCGACCGCCTCCACCACACTTGACTATTCCTTGAACGATTTGTAACAAACTCTATTAAGACAATTGGGTGTGAGGTGCGCACAATGTGTGAAACCCAATGAAAACTAACCTAAGTCAGGGGAGGGGGATTTCCTCAACATGTCGTAATGAGCGAAGGGGTAATGAAACTTAACTTGAAACCAACCGCCATATTATAATCCCACATTACCGTCAACATTTTACGAAAAATAATTGCTTTTTCTAAGAATTTTTATCATTGCCTACCAGACGCATAGCTAAGCATATTTCAAACATCAAAGGTACCGCCATATCATAATCCACATTACCGTCTACATTTTATAAGAACAAAGACAACGTCTGTCGTTATGGCATAATAAATTCTAAGAAATTTATCATGGGTAACCAGACGCTTAGGTAAGCGTATTTCCAACAACAAAGGGTATTACTATATTAAAACGTTCATTGGCGTCAGGATTTTATGAAAACAATGACAACGTATGTCGTTATGACATTATAATTTCTAAGAATGTTATCATCGGTTACCAGACGCTTAGGTCAGCATATTTCAAACATCAAAGAGGTCGCCGCATAGTAATGATTATTGTCGTTTGAATCTTATCATCGGATGCCAGACGCTTAGGTCAGCATATTTCCAAAGATGTTACAATATATTAATGGTCACTGTCGTATGCATTTTATGAGAAAAATGGCAACGTTGTCTTTTTTCACGCCTACGCGTTTTATGAGAACAATGGCAACGTTTGTCGTTATGGAATTTTATTACCGTCTACCAGACGCTTAGGTAAGCATATTTCCGACATTGTTTGTGTTGTACCTGTTTAAACCAACCAAAACTTGTCTAAACAAGATCTTTGACCCCTATAAAAGAACGTCACATCAAATTCAGGATCATTCACTCATTATCTTTTCCAAAGCGATTATACCAAAAACCATTTGCTTGTTTATTTCTATTTGTTGTCCTAAAGAATTTCTAAGACTTTTGATATAAAATAAAGTAAGTAATACATTTATATATATTTTTCATTTAAACTGTTTTCCACTGACTTTGGTTACTAGTTATGTTTAGAGTTGTTAAATATTTATTATTTTTTTATTTTAGAATGGAGCAATTAAAGAAACAGTTGAACGATCAGAATACATTAAAAAGATATTCAATATTAAGTGATTTGGAGGAACACACGCCATACAAAATCATATCTATGAAAAATACAAGCACACGAAATGGGGTTGTCGTTGTTGGTTGTCTATTCAACAATATGAATGTGTTTATCCCGAGATTGAAATTAACTAATGAAGAAATCGAAGCTTACAATATCAACAATGATGACAACAAATTACATTTATTATATAGAGGCAAAAGTGGAAATGCATATTTGTTTGATTTTCAGTAATTTGTTAATATTTTTCCTTGTTTTTTAAACTTATTTATATAAAAAAATAAAAAAAACTTAGTATCATAAACTTGTAAGATTTAAAATTCAATAATATATACTATTTTTTTTATTTTATACAATTTTGTCATATTTATTTAAACTTTATGCCTTTGTGTATAATAAAAGTCTATAGTACTAAGCAGTGCAAAGAAGAGTTTTACACATTAAATAGCAAATTTACTATACGCTATGGTATTTTTAGCAGGTTGTACTATGTATGGCATGTAGTAGGCTGTTTATAAAAGTAGTAGGGACACTGTGTCGGTTTACCGAACAGCATGTCCTGGAATCGTATAATCTCGATACAACAAGTCTGAACATGTTAAAACCTGTCTGAACGCGTTCAAATCCCTGTTCATCCTGTTTGAACCCCGTCTGCTTGTGTTTACAACTGTTTGTATCATATCTAACGACGAAAATTAGACTATTAATTACTATTGGGTTTAAATTAGTTAATAACTTCACCGTGGTGTAAGCATAGCGCTCTAATCGTTATAAGATTTTCTATATAAACAGACGTTACTTTAACTTGTTGGTAATGTGTTAAGTCGATATTTGTATACTTTAAGAATGGCTGGTTCTCTCGCTACAATTGCCAAATTCTATAACAAACAAACATTTGCTAAACCCCAACCTCACAGTGAATTAATCGATTGCACTGATTACGTTTTGAATTTCAATCCTCGTAAATTCGTTCAGATAGGATTGGATCCAAAAGATCGATTTAACGTAACTATTCGTTTACTATCGTCAACCCGTTACATACTTATAACGATAGATTTCCTACAACGGATTTATACGTTGATGGGTAATATTCTGTCGCTAATTTTCGACCCTGTATCAAGACAAAAGATTATTTTACTCAAGGATGAATACGTCACACTCTCAAAGACTACGTTTCAAGGAGAGTCTTCGCTAGTCTTTGAATCACAAGCACAAGATGAATGCCGAGTGTTACTCACCCAATCAGACATTTTAAAACTCAGCGCTTTGGAATGTTGTATCTTTGAGACTATCAATCAAAAGATGACTGTAATTCAACCATTGGTTCTACAACAGTTGGAACAGATGGCTCAATATATGAAATCTCAGTATGAAGTAAATGTGGAAAACAAATGTATGTTGATCAATGCGGTTTCGGATTATACGATTAGAAATAGTTTACCCAATAGCGATCTGAGCTACATAAGCCAAATAAAACAATTTGCGAGCCAGCAGTTGGAACAACGGTGGACGATGCTGGAAGAATATACTAAAGAAATGGTGAATTACATTTTTTTTTTTTCTAACTGAGTAGAACATTTTTTAATAAATATATATAATTTTTTCAGTCTTCTAACGGAGAAAACGTATGCTCGACATTTTTTGGGTCGCTGGCCGATGATATACAGTCGGAACCAATCATACCATCAAATACAAATAACCAAGAAATACCAACAGTAGTTGTTAGTAATAGCTATCTGTCGACAAGTATCTAAAACATGTATATAATTAAAAAAAAAAAAAAAATTGTTTAAAATAAACGTATGTTGCATTGACATGTGCTGTTATTATTATATACTGAGACATTGTGAAAATCTCGTTTTTAACGTAACTTGTAATTAAAATTATAATGGATACAAAGACTATAAATACGTTTAAATAATAATGTTTAAAATAATGATTATTATCTAGGATTTTATTTATATCATATGAAAAAAAACTATGTTTCTATAAAACTCAAATCATTTTTTCTTCTTTTTAATTCTTAAGAAAGGTTAAAACATGCTCAAAAACCTAGCTGTATGATACATGTAAAATACATTAGGGTATTCTTAGAGTTTTGGTGGATAATACCTTACCATCAAAATGTGACATCTCATTACGTAACTATAGTTTAAATACTATGGCATCTTACACGTACAACTATTGTACTGTACAGAAGAGAAAAAAAAACGATGTAGTATATATATATATATATTTACAGATATGTACACGCATATACATATATTTTTTTAGAAAAAATACAATTTCTTACTACATTATGTTACATTAAAAAAATGTTTTAAAACTACTTATATACATGTATATTTACAAAAAAAAAAAATTTCAATTCTTGACGATATTTTTTTTACAATGATAAGAACTTAAAAACTATAGGTCTTCCGGTGGCGGTATAGCATAATGCCCGTGGGCCAACGTGTCGATTCTGTTGTTGAGCGTGTAGCGCTTATCATCAAAACGGTTAAGCGCCAACTTGGTTGTACGTAAAGTCCGTACCTCGTGCTCAAAAGAACGGATTGACACGTTCTGTCGGTACGGAGTGTATGGTAGCGATAATATCGGTGGACACTCACCACCACGTATCACTCCGATGACCGCACGGGCATTCTCTCCAACCAATTCTCGTTTTGACGCATCGTCACCATCGTCTTTGAACAAACACCGTTTGTAGTCGTCCAAAGACAGATGGTTCCTGACGACGTGTCCTCGGATCCCCTTAGACTTTATGAGTTCGCTGCCTTCCATGTCAAATGCGTAGCACTTTGATCGAAGTGCAGCGATCTCAAAGAGAGTGAGGCCACTGGTCTCGTCTGAAAACAAGCCGGGCATCTTCTTTCTATCGGTGGAGTAGCAAGGGTGATCCTTGGGCAGGCTAGATGCGTCCACGTGCACCAGTAAATCGGGGCTACCAGCTAAATCCTGGTAGAAGTCGCCTACTCTGAGCAGGTATATGAAGGAGTCTGAGAAAAATTAAAAATATATAAATATAAAAAATATTTCTACTGTACGGTTGTACTCACCAGTATCCATGTAAACCAATTCGATTGCACTGCCATAATGTGGTTTCAATACGTCGTAGAAGTACTTGTACATTAGCGTCTTGCTAATGTCAAGCACTGCTAAACCGACGTATATTGGTTTGATAAACTTGACCATCTTTGTGTCCATTATGACGGCGCACAACCTTTCACCGTATTTGATACAGTCGTTGAAGGTTGGTTGGTTTACGAGCTTGCTTAGACGTTCGGGACTGGAGATTAGCTCAATACGGATGCGTTTCCGCATGTTCTCCATTGTTTTCCCTATAAAATGTAAAAAATTATCGAATAACCCACTTTAGCATTGAGCATGCACTTACCAAAGACGGCATTGTTCATTAGTTTGAAAAATGCAATTTCAAAAGCATTTGCCGCCTTTTTCCGCATTTCAGTGTTCAACTCAATGTATGGTTTCAACCAAGCACTTTGTTGAAACTCTAAAACGCGGTGCACCTGCAGTACAAATATTTATATTAGTATCATCGCTTATAGTTTATAGGTTAACTATACATACTTTATCGACTTGCAGTCCGTGTGCGATCGCCTGTTTAAGATTAACGTAATGTACGACGTACCGCTGTTTGGGTTTCAAAGTGGCCATGAGTTTGGTCTCTTTGGAACCCGGCGGTACATCGTTGACAGGCAAGAACGGCAAGTCGTTGTGCTCGTCATGCAGCTCTTGTGGATACGATACGTCCACTTCATATATACGCCCCGTATTACCAGTGTCCGACAACGATTGGAGGTCAGCCAGAGGGTCTGCTCCTTTATACCACCGGAAGCCACCGTACGGCATGGGCTGACTCATAGCCCACCCGTAAAGGTTATTGCCTGTAAACATTAAACGTTATTAAACCACCGCTCAAATATTGCGCGTTTATATATATACGTATAGATTACTTACAGTCTTGGTACACGATCCATGATTCTGGTTTTGACGGATCGTAATCGGGTGTCTTAGAATTGTTGGCCTTTGCATAGTGCTTGACGGCCTGCACTAGCCCACCACGAATGCCCTGTTCCACCATCAGTAGCATGTCGTAGTCGTTCAAGAGCTCCAGCTTCATCCTGGTGTATTTCAACATACAATCGAAGCTAAAACCAGGCGCGGTGTAATAGTGCGCCGGGTCCAAATTGTATGTTGAAATACAGATGTCGCGGAAGTTCTCAAACACATCAGCCAACAACAACACGTCGATCTTAAGATATAGGTCGCTGTACTCACCGAGGGTTGAGCAGTCGAAACGGTTCCACACCTCCGTGGCATGTCTATAGTCGTCGTCATCAATATTAGACTCACTCAACTGACTATAGAAAGCGTCCTGAGGTGGTAGTTCCGTTTCTTCCAATTTAGCCCAACTATCAGTGTACTCGTAGGGGTATACGCCCTTACGCGTCACCAACGGCATGTCTTCCGGGCGGAACACCTTGGCCGTCTCCCGGAATTTAACAAAGTCGGGCGTCATTAGGTTACCGGCCAAGGTGGACAGGGAGGAGGCCATGAACCGGAAGGTATCGACGAACCGTATGGAGAAGTTATTGGTCACGTGTTTCGTGACCGAAATATACTTCTCCTCGGAATTCGGTATGACCGAAATCCTTTGGTCGTC